AACTTTCTGGAGAAGACGAAAGAAACTTCCTGGAGACGCTGGCAGAAACTTCCTAAGGCAGATTGAAAGAAACATTTCAAGAAAGTCGGAAGCCAGAGCGCTTACGGAATAGTCGAAGTAAACAAGGACATAGTTCCGGAACAAAGAGATTCCTGGTGGATGTTCTAATGATTCAGAAAATTTTCCTGATATTCATAAAACATCCCTGAAGACTTCGTAATTCCCCTGAAGGTTTCGGAACATTCCTGAAATGCACATTATTTCTCGAAATTCCTTAAAAGTTCTTGTAATTTTCCTGAAATTAGGGCCTGTTTAGGAGTTCTCTGGTCATTCTCGAAGTGCTCGGAACTTCTTTAAATAAGACTACCGGAATATCTCTAATCATCTTTTAAGGTCTCTTGACTTTCTTGAGGATTACGAAATCTCTTAAGTGCTCTCACAATTTTCTTGATTTTATTGTAACATCAGGATTGAAGTTATCTGATCTTCCCGATTTTTTTTTAATTCTTAAAAGTTATAGATACTTTATAATGGCAGTATAGAACTTCCCATAAAATGTTCTCACAATGTTCTTATGTTCATGTAACTTCCCTTACGTTTCCTAAATTTGCATGAGCCTCTCAAGACATTCCTGAAGTTTTCGGAAATTGCCTGAGTTTCTCGGAAATCCTTTATAATTTCAGCAATTTCATTGAAATTAATTGATCTGTCCTGATGTTCTCTAAGCTTCACTAAGTCACTAGCCATTAAATTTTCCTGAAGTTCTTTGCTCTTATGAAGTTTCCAAAATATTTATGATGTTTCCTTAAGTTCACTGGAGTTCGCTGGACTTTTCTGAAATTTCCGGTTTTTTTTTAAATTTTAACAGAAGTTAATGAAACTTTATTTAATTTATCAAAATTTACGCAAAATTCTGGACTTTTCAGAAGTTTCAGAACTTCTTAAATGTACCTGCAGCTAGTGTGGATCCGCAATAAAAATCTGATAGCATCCTTGAAGTTCTGGAAAAGTTGAAAAAACTGGCGGGAGAAGATGAAAGAATCATTCGAGCGAAGGCTGAAGAAGTTTCGAAGGTAAGGTGGAAGAATATTCCAGCGAAAGTTGGATGAAACTTCAGGAAGTTTAAAAGTGAATAAAAACTTCCGGAAGTTAAATAATGTTCTAAAAATATTTCTCGATTCGCTAGGAACTACCGGAAAGAGCCATCGACTGTTTCTCGATTGATGGGTAGCCAAAAACGGTGAGGAAATGCAAACATTAGTCGAAAGAGTAGCAAGCATAAAGCATCTTTAGAGATGATTGTTTAGAATTTTCAAGGCTCAATAAATATGAGGTAGGTTTTTTATCTAATTTCTGTCCTACTAAGCACAACCCGCGTTTTACCTCTCTTTTTTGAACGGGTTTGAACAAAAAATGAAATATTTCTGTCAAATATGACTTCTAAACTTATTTACCTTTCCATACGTATTTTTGGATTTGATAAAGAGTCACAAATTATTGAGATATTGTTTAAAATATAATACTGCTTCTTGATCCTAAATTCGTCCTACGAGTTTGGAAGTGGAGAGTTTCAATTCCGTCCAAACGCATTGAAATGCCTTTAGATTTTCTTTGTCCTACTGATAAACGTAGAAAAAGGAGATTCGCTAGGAGCGCTTCTTTTGTTTTGAGAACAATGAGCGTAAATATTCATACAATGCGCTCTAATAGGATTTATGTTGTAGCTAATGAACTTAAGCATTGGAACAAACCTGTTATTGATTTGTGCACGAAGAAATAATTGATATTATTGATCTTTTCTGATCGATAGAATGGAAATGGGCGATTACGACGAAGTAGCGCTGTACCCTATTCAAAAAGATACAAGTCTCACACAAAAATTTTCTTCGAAATTCGAGCGTGGGCAGGCAATAATAGTTTTATTAAAATCGGTATAAATCGGTATAAAATCTCAAAAATCGGTATTCTGAGGAACCTTATCTGTATATCGGTATCTAGTTCGGAAATCGGTATAAATACCGATAAATCGGTATATCTGGCAACGCTGATTTACATACCGGCAAGCATACCGGTCTATAACTCTAAAATGTCATTGACAGTCAGGTGAGAAACGCTAGAGAAATAAACATCACTTTTGTACACACAAAAAACGAAAATTGTTTTAAGTAAAAATATTAACCTTTCAATTTAAAAGTACCCCAAAATTTGTTACTTGAACTATGAAAATATTTGAAACAACAAGGTTATTTTCAATCCAAAAGTAGATGTTTTGATTTTAACTTGTAGTTTTAAAAAGCAGATTTTCAAATCAAAAATTGTTTTACTGTCAAAACAACTTCTTCGGGGGTAGTTTTCTACTCGTTTCTGGTTAGTTTTTGAATAACGTGAGTAAATAAAAATAAAAACGCGCAAAACGAGAATTGAAAAGCTTGCTTTGCTTGCTTTATTAATTTCTATTCGACCAGTTTTCAAAACAAATCCCTGCTGCATTTACCGGATCATCCGTGAGCTAGACCGGCTGAAAATATAAATAAAATACGGTGATACCACAGGATGAATATGGTAAGTTTATCTACGATAATGCCTTGTGCAGACTAGAAAGTTTTTTATGATAATAGAATCGCTTTCTTTTCGGAAATTTCAGCATCAGTCAAAAGTAAGATCATCGTTCCGGATTGGGTCACACCGGACTCTGAGCCAGATGGCTGAAACGGTAGCACCACAGTTTAAGGTTGAAGCAGGGGGAGTGGATTGCATGGACGGCTCAACAGATGCTGACGAGGATGGTGAACAATTCCACAATTCAATATTTTTAATTTTGTTTTTGTTAGTTTTACATTTATAAAATATATATATACGTAAAAATCAAAACAATGAACTTTATGTTTAAAAAGAAATAAAATTTTATTTGATTAACTACGCTCTCATTTTGAAATAAGAGAAAATTTATTTTGACCTAGCCTACTCTTAATTTGACAGTTCTACAATTTCATTTCAAAAGTAGAAACTTTTAATTTGACATTTATAAAATTTAATCATAAAAGTTGTGACTTTTAAAATCAAAGGATTCAGCATTTTTATTTTAACTGTTCATGTCTTTTGCAATTGAAAGTTTCTGACTTTCTACCAAAAAGAACCAATGCAAACTTTTAATTCTACCAACGGTTTTTTTAATTCTATTAACGTTTATTTTGTGTGTGATACGAACAACCGCACAAGTTACACGGTTTATTTTACTCTGCCACCAATCCGAAACTTGGCCATTGATTACAACAGCTCGATTTTAGTTAACCTCAGTACATTTAACTGATTTCAACTTTTGATATTTTTATTGAAATTGAAACAAATACTTTATTATGCACCATGGAATTGTTTAACGCAATATGGAATGCTTTTAAAATATTTGTAAACTTTAAGAATGAATCAATAGTCAGAATAATCGAGGTTATTTGGACAGTTAGCAGTTTTCATGCACTTGTTACCATGCGTTACAATGTTTTTGTATTTTCCTGAACGAAGGCTGAAAAAAGTGAACCATTATAATATTATCACCGACAAACCGACATGAATGACCATAGTAAATACAATAAAATTTCTGACCAAAGCACACTACTGACATCTGGCTCCGTGTTTGCGGGAAATATTTAGCTAAGCCATGAACCCGCATGCAAAAGTTATGAATTGGTCCGTGTCTGATCTATGCTGGACAAATTATTTTTATCTAGATAAAAAAATCCTATGGTTTTGACAGTTCGGATCACTGCACATTTAAATCGGCCGTTTACGATTTTCGGGCATAAGTCAGCATTAAGTGTTATGTCGGTTTGTCGGTGATATTATTCTAAAAATGTTCCATAATCGAAGAACTGAAAATAAACTCAAAGATTTAAATCAGTAAATCCAGCCAAAACGAAGGACTCGCGAACACAATAAGCTCCCTCATCAATCATATTCCGAATTTGATTAAATAAGTATTTACAAGTATACAAATAAATATATCAACAGTAATGTAATTTTTTCTCTCCTGGAAAGGAAAAATTAAATGGTTAATTGCACTGTCATATAAACGTTAAACATACATTAGAGAAAATCAAACAATGTTACGTTGCTTTTTCCAGTTGTGTTTTGGTCCTGTTATAAACATTTATTATTGAATATATAATAATAATATAATAGGACCTGGGTTTTATTCAAACTCAAACACCACGGTGGTGTCCTTTACACAAGAATAAGCTTCTACTACCGATGATCTTTTAAACCTGGAGACAAAAAGCAACGAAAAAGCACTTATGGCTTCATTAAATTCTACTCTTAAGCGACGTTAATAAAAAATAATAAGATTCTCTTGAATTGGTCGCGTCGCGTTGGCAATTATGCACGGCACATACAAATTTAAAAAAAATGTATGGACAATTGTCTACGCAGGGGAGGGGGGGGGGGTTATCAAGAATCCCAAAATCCTGTCTACGCAGGGGGGGGGGGGGGTCAAGAATCCCAAAATCCTGTCTACGTAGTCTCAGGAACGTTTATCCTTTTGGTAGGCGAGAGAGTCACGCATTGATTTTATTTGATTATCAATTTGGCATCCATCGCAGCAGTTTGAAGGTGACTGCGATTTGTCTTCGCCAGATCCAGGTTTTCTAACTGACGTTTGTCAGAAAATGGCAGACACAATATTGAAACAGACCCAAAAACAAATTCGGTAAAAGAACACGTTAACATTTAACAAGCATTGCAAAAGGTTCGGATAGCCAGAAAGTTTCAAAACAACTGAAGACGTATACTTTTCACACCAATATTTATTTGATCTGAGTTTTGTTTTGCCTCACTATGTTCTCATATTTTCTTGTAATTGCCACTGGTTCACTGGTTATTTTCCTCATTCTCTAGGTATATTTAATCGGAGAAAGAAACTTACGCCGATAGTATCGACGTTTTGGCCTTTTTTGATCCATAATTGATTAATTTCCTATTTAGATCACTTCTTATCCGAAGAGCTCTTTTCGATCCTTTTCATTGATGCTGATTCTATTGTTTGATCATTATTTTTTATTCAAGATTTGTTACCCTTTTTGCAAAAATTGAACCTATTTAACAATAATTGATTTCCGTTAAAAGTTTACTTGCTTCACTTCTACGCAGAGTTGCAGATTGGATGACGCTGTTTGGGGGATATGAATGTCAATGGAATATTCCGCATGAATAAAACTAAAGAGTGATCTACTTCGTTGAATATATAAAAATGTATAAACTTTAAAATAATTAAAAAACAAAACTAATTAGTAGGTACCTACTCATGTGATTGCTTTTGTGTGAGATCAATGTGTTGTGTACTGCTAAAAGCAAATGTCAAGTAACTCAAGTACGCAGCCATGGAAGCGTTACCATAGCAAACTTTGCAGTAAGCTTGGAGGCAAGCTTGAAAGCTTCAAGGACGGAAAATAAAACGAGCAGTGGAAAGGATATTGAAATTTTGCATAAGGGGGTGGCATTTTTCGTATACAAATTTAGCGTCATGTCGGCTGGGTCCGTTGGTTGCAGCTGATTTTCTATTTAGAATGATGTTCCTTTTAATCTCTTTAATATGTTGGCATGTTTTGATGTTCGCTTTTTTTTATTGAGTAACAACTATTTATGTAGCATGCTTTGTTTAATCTCTTACTGACACATGTAGATATGATTTGGGTGAAATGTTTTCGATTTTTGTTCGTTTCAAAGATATGTGAATGTATTTTTGCTATTTTTTAAATTACTTCGTTGATTTTTTTCCATCAGAGTTCGCAAAATTTTAACTATCAAGCATCTTGCGCTTTTTAATATTAGTTTAAATAACTGACTTTTTACAAAGTTTACAATTTTACAGCTTATTCACCGTATTTCTTCATTATTGCACTTTAAACCGAAAAAAATGGGAAGGGATGGGTAATAAATAGATACGTGAACTCAGAAAGAGGGTTGAGTAATTTACAGAGGAAAGTTTTCAACAAACAACGGACGAAGATTATCATTCGTTATGGAGTTGCGTTTTATTTGGACGTCGTGGTGGCCGCTGCCAGCGGGCTAGGGGTGTAACCTTGTGATCCACAGGTGGTCATCGAGTAGGGGCTAAAGCCACTGCCACCAGCCATCAAGCCGTTGATTCCTGTTGATTGATCGGGTGGAGAAGAGAATTGGTAAGTGTCTATTCGAAGGTGCAGATCGAGAATCAAGTGGTACTAACAGCAAAGATCGATTGGAGTTTGGTTTACTGAGCTTAGACTGCCGTCGCTACAGACGATGACGAAGCGTGCCAAAACTGATGCGTACCGGCCGTGGCTGAATAGCCGTGGGATGGAACGAGCTGCGAGTGCCACAGGTTTGGCGACGATGTAACTGAAGAAGTGATGTAGAGAAATAAGGGATTCGTTGTTTTAGACAGCCAAAACAAACAATCATTACGGTACATCGATACAAAAACAGTGACATAGAGGTTGGTGGTAGGACGCACAAATCGACGGTCACATGCAGTACTAACGGCAGCGTGTTCATCGATTTTCTGTTTTTGCGAAAAATTTAGGACCCAAACAGAATCCTAACCTCAATCTGTCAGTTGACGAATTGCCTCATAGCCTGCTAGATTGAGTGGATTATGTTTGAGTCAGTGTTAAATTTTGGGATCCAAAACAAAAGGGCTAATTCGGCGCATCGTTCTGTAGCGATTTAGGTTCGGATTATTTCTCACGTGATCATAATTCGAAATATGGAACCATGTGTTAGTCCAATCGTTGTTGTTAGTATTGCATGTGTTAATGTCGATTACGAATAAATAAACAAACAAATCGACGGCTAAGTTCGCTTACTTGACGACGTGTTGAAGACACTGGCGGGTGAGGAAGTTAGCCCGCTCATGTTGGATGCGGTTGCGTAACCGTTGCTACTTCCGTACGATCCCCCACCGGAGGAATGCGGTGTCGACGCACTACTACAGTAGCCTCCCCGGGGACTCACGCTGCTGCTCTGTGCCCGAGTGTATTCGTCAGCTGAAGAAATGAAAAAAAAAAGAAAGATGAAATAGGTGTTGGCGAGGTATGTGTCAAACTGGTTGTTACCTTCCGCCCATTGGCCTGTGCCATCTTGGACGCTCACTGCCAGCTGTCCGCTATAGGAGTTGAATCCGGAGGAACCGTTCGGGGAGCGGGGCATGGAGTAGAGAGCTTCCGCGAGGTCTGCTGCCCGCTTTAGAATTATCTCCTTGGGGAGTTTCTCCGGATCGCCGGGATGCCGTGGAATCAGCTTCTGTAACCGTTGGAAACCGTAGTCGATGGTGGGTTCACTTAATGCTGTGGCGACGAATGAGAATAGATTTTAATTACACGAATACGACATCAATCCAATCCAACGGAAAACTTACAGACATAGACAAATCGACCGGGTGAGCCCTTGCAGAATTGTTTGCTCTTGTAGGACAGCGTGACTTCCACCACTCCTGGTATGTGTCGGGGAGGCGTCTGCACCCGGATGGCATGCGACGTTATCAACTGTCAATTAGAACAAAAGAACCATCTTCAAGTTCGGAACCAAATCTGAGATTGGGTCGAAGGCTTACCTCACTCCACACCAGCATGGTGCCGAAAACCACCTGTAGCCCGTCGAAGAAGTTATCGCCCACGATGATTACCTGCGCACCGCCAGTCGTCCAACCCTCGCTGGGGCTGATCGCCTTGATACAGGGGGTTGCCATTGGTAGCGGCGGATAGATGCCTGCAAGAGCGAACCGTGTATCGGAAGCACAGGAAAAAAAGAACAAGGATTTATTTTCTCTCCGGTTGCCCCAGCTTTCGACGAGATGGTTGACATAATCCGATTATAGGAATCATAGCTACAACCACAGCAGACACACATACACACACACGTATTTCGGTTGGCTGCACAGTACACTCAATTTGTGGCTCTATTAGCGAGGACTTAATTCCAGCGGATCGTGCGGTTAGCTTTAAAGTCATTTCTCTGTCAACTGCGACAACGACGGAACGAGTGTAACAAAAAACGCAATTCAAATTAAAAATTCAACCACCACGTGTTGATTGCTAACCACTAACCACTACTGTTGCTGACTGGTCGTCGTCGCCGTCGTCCTCAGGCGCCTTCGGTCGTCGGTTAGCACGCGGCTAGCTTTGTGAATCCGGTGAAACTAACCGACCAACCGGACGTCGTCGTGGCTAGAAAGTGACTCTATGCATACATTCATGCACTATATTTCATAGCTGGGATGAAAATTTAATTGGGCGGCTCGCATGCCATCCCGATTCGAACTCGTTGGCCGTGCTTCTCCTCCTCGGTTAGAATGACGCAAACTGAGCGTGTGACCGTGAACCTAGGCAGCAGTGCCAGGGACCGTACGTTGATTCAGATTCAGTAGATGCTTGAAATTGGATTTTGTCGGATACTTTGTTCGACAATTTTAGTAGAACGAGTCAAATGTGACCGTGGACTTAATGATTGGAAGGCTTGCACCTAGCGCTCTCGATTCTTGAGGGAATAAAAGGCGATTGAAAGCGAATAAGAAACAAATTCTTGGATTATGATTTACAAATTAATGTCGAATGCGATTATGATGCTTCGAGCTTATTTTTAAGAATTGTTGAAAATTTACCAATATCTATGCGTACATATTCCTGATCGAAATAAAATTTTCTCACCTTTAATTTGGTATTCAAATAGGGGAAATGGATCTAATGTTGGCCTATGGATCTAACATGAGGCCCATCGCTAAAAATATTTTATTTATCCATTTTATCTAGATGAACGCGTCATTGGGACGGTACTAATGGACATTTTTGGTCGCTATTGAAAATTTAGTCCACTAATGAATTTATGTATGGGCCCTAATTAGGGGCATTTAGGCCGACATTACATCCATTTTCCCTATATGGCTTCATTATAGCCGGAGATTTGTAGGTACATCAAATTACAGTTACTTTCATAACTAGGGAGATTGAAAGGATCACTCCAGGGTAGCCAACGAAGGGCGAAACGTACAAATCTTCGCTGAATGGCCTCAATACGATTCACCCCGTTGCTGTAAAAAGGAGCCTATACTACGGAACAGTACTATAATGTGGAGCGGACTAGCGAACAATAGAGTGTTTTTAAACAGAAAATGTCCCTAAAGTCTTTGGCGAAACGAAAAATGAAACCAACTTGAGAAGATGCCTTAGCGGAAACATATGCCACATGGTCCTTGAAGGTGAGTTGTGAATCAAGTAGGACGCCTAAGTCTGTAAGAATAACAGATAGGTGATTTTTTTCCTGGAAAACGTTATAATGACACAATTAGAAGCATTTAATACCATCCTGTTCTTGTTACACCAAACAGCAAAAACGTCTTGCTGCTGCTGCTGAAGAAACAATGCATCACTTCGATCTTTGATGACAAAGTATAGTTTGAAATCGTCAGCATAAGACAGCTTCAGGCAACTGATCGAAATGAGAACGTCATTCAAATACAATAAAAATATGAACGGTCCCAGATGACTGCCTTGAAATACACCAGAAGAAACAACGAACGGTTGAGAAAAATGATCTCCAATCATCACTGACATATGTCGACCGTAGAGGTATGAACGAAGCCAATCAAGAAGGGAACCGTGAAAGCCAAGTCACTCTAGTTTGGTCACTAAACTGATGCAAAATTTTAAAATTTTCGCTCCACAGTGCTCAAACGGTTTCAAATCAGGTCCTGATTAGCCTTCCAAAATTTAAACTCATTTGGTAAGTAACTGACATGGCACAAACTATCCGAAGTTTATATGGAAATTACTATGGAAAAAGCAAACTTTTTGTTCATTGTCTTCTACCAATTTTCCATATTGCTTTTTCGAAAATTTCGATAACTATTCTTACGGGAAATTTTTTAAGCTACAACTTAACGGAATATCGTTTTCAGCCAAATGTCAGATTAAATTATTATTAAGAGATTTAAGTTTAAGAGATTGATAATCTTATGGCATGATCAAGCAGCTGTTCTGCAGTGTGACATAGTTGCCTGCTGAACAGTTGAATGAACATAATCATAGGACGTCAGTGACTTGAATCATTAATAACTTTTGTTCCTTACATTTAATTGAAAAGTAGTTTTGAACAAAGTTGTAGCTGAGAAAATTGGCTACAATCATTATTATCATTTTTAAAAACATAGTGATGTTGTGAATTGTTAGATGGATATGAACAAAAACATAAGTTTTCCCATAGTAATTCCCATATAAACTTGAAATGGTTTGTGCCAAGTCAGTTTCTTACTAAAGTAGTTCAAATTTTGGCAGGACCCAATTTGAAACCGGTTAAGCACTGTGGAGTCTATTGGCCACTGCAATCTTGTCATTGATTTTATCAAAAGCAGCAGAAAGATCGGTGTAGATAACATCCACTTGATGACCTCTTTCTATCTCGCGTATGATTGATGATGTGTATTGAACGAGATTTGTAGCGGTTGACCTCTTCGGCATAAATCCGTGTTGTTCAGTCACGATGTAACTAGAGCATGTGTGCTTTAAATAGTCAAAGAGTTTTGAGACTGCACATAAAGCAGCGATACCACGGTAGTTGGACACCAACTGCTCATTGCCTTTTTTGAAGACAGGGAGAAGCAGTCGGGAAAGATCCCAGAATCCAAAGAGAGGTTGAAGATGGATACTTAAGGTGCGGCCAGCACTCCAATGCAGTTCTTATTAACCGCGGAAGGGATTCCGTCAGGGCCAGTGCTGAAATAATTTTTCAAACGAAGGCCTGCTCTACGAACATCATTGGTCGAGATAGGCGGATGCGACCCAAGAGCTGAAAGTACTGGAACATCACTTACGGCGGCTACGATGTGCTCTAGACTGATGCAAATTTTGACATTTTTGCTTCACAGTGCTCAAACGGTTCCAAATCGGGTCCTGATTAGTCTTCCAAAATTTGAACTCATTTGAAAAGAAACTGACTTGGCACAAACCATTTGAAGTTTATATGAAAATTACTATAGGAAAACCAAATGTTTTGTTCATATCCATCTAACAATTTACCATATCGCTCTGCTTTAAAAAATGATAACAGAGCTCGTAGAGAATTTTCTCAGCTACAACTTTGTCCTGAACCACTTTTCAATATAATGTAAGCATCAAAAGTTATCTATAATTCAAGTCACTAATGTCTTACGATTATGCTCAATCAACTGTTCAGCAGGCAACATTGGTGTTTCTGGCGCTTGGAATAGAGCACAAAAATCATGGCTACTATGTCACACTGCAAGATACAGTGTTGCTGACAAAACAGCTGCTTGATCATACAATAAGATTATCAATCTCTTAAACAATTAATAACTATTTTATTTGACGTTTGGCTCAACAACTATATTCTGCTAAGTTGAAGCTGAGAAAATTTTCCATAAGTATAGCTTTTGAATTTTTGAACAGTGCCATATGGAAAAGGGTAAGAAGACAATGAACAAAAAGTTTGGATTTCCCATAGTAATTTCCATATAAGCTTCAAATGGTTTGTGCCAAGTCAATTTCTTTTCAAATGAGTTCAAATTTTGGGAGACTAATCAGGGCCCGATTTGAAACCTTTTGAGTACTGTGGAGCGAAAATGTCGAAATTTGCATCAGTCTAATGTGCTCGTTAGGTAAATTTTCTTTGACGAAGACACTGCTGAATTGTGACATGAACAGGTCAGCGATTCCCTCCGTAGCTGACTCTTCTCGATCCGTATTGTACACGGTAGAAGGTAAGCCCGATTCCTTCCGTTGATCGTTCACATGTTTCCAGAAGCTCTTGGGATTAGTTTTGAGTTTAGCTTGTAGATGGCGCTGATGGGCTTGATAAAGCTGTTTCCTGAGCCGCTTATACTGTTTGTTAACGAGGTTGCACTTCCTTTTCGATGCATCCGTTCGAAGTTTACAAAATTTCTTCAAGGCAGCTCGTTTTGATGACTTCAGTCGCTTGAGTCGGTGATTGGTCAGATACCATATTCTACATATATTTTTCATGATACTACGAACCTGCTGTAAAGTACCTAATGATGACGTTGAGGATTGTCCTCCAACAACTTACTTACAAATCAGGCTAAGGCTTTGTTGTCCGCTGCTGTCCGAAGAAATCGTCTACACTCTACTCGATCCATGGCCACACTTCGCCAGCCTCGTAGTCTGCGAACGGTCGGCAGGTCGCCTTCTACTTGGTCGATCCACCTTGCCCGCTGTCTGCCTCTTCTTCTTGTTCCTGTTGGACCGCTTTCGAGAACCATTTTCACTGGGTCGTCGTGCGGCATTCTTACGACGTACCCAGCCCACCGTAGTCGGGCGAATTTTTGCAATGTGGACAATGGATGGTTCTCCAAGCAGCTGGTGCAATTCGTGGTTCATTCGCGTTCCGTCATCGATCTGCACTCCACCGTAGATGGTACGCAACACCTTCCGTTCGAAATCACCAAATCACCAATCATCCACGAGTATAGTCCAGGTCTCGTGGCCGTAGAGGATTTTATTCGACCTGAGCGTCCTCCGGAGTCCAAAGTAGGCACGACTCCCTGCCATAATGCGTATTTGAATTTCACTGCTGGTATGATTTTCGGCGGTCACCAGTGAGCCCAAATAGCCCTTTTTGACGTTTAATCGTCTTTCTCTATCTAGCACACATGGATGAATGGACGGTTTGTTTTTCCACTAATCTCCCTCTTGCGCGCACTCGTTCGATTTATATGGTGCAGTGGTGTGCGCCGATTA